AGCTGGGGAGGAAGGAAGAAGATCTGTGTGGGGATTCCACTGGAGGATGTGGATGCAGGAGTCAGCTTGGTTTCTCTCTTTTTTTTCTGTGCTGGGTCTTCATTGTAGTGTGCACAGGTTTCCCTTGTTGAGGATCATGGTTCGTATTTATTTATTTAATTTGTAAACCAATTTTAATTTTATTTTAAAAATGTATTTATTTTTAATTGGGGGATATTTGCTATATGATATTGTGTTGGTTTCTGTCGTATATCAACATGAATCGGCAGCCATAGGTATATGTATGTCCCCTCCGTCTTGAACCTCCAACCCCATCCTATCCCTCTAGACTATCACAGGGCACCAGATTTGAGCTCCCTGCATCATACAGTGAATTTCCACTGGCTAATTTTGCATATGATAGTGAATACATTTCAGTGCTACTCTCTCAATGCGTCCCACCTTCTCCTCCCCTTCCCAACACGCATCCGTAAGTTTGTTCCCTGTATCTGCGTCTTCATTGCTGCCATGCAAATAGGTTCATCAGTTCCATTTTTCCAGATTCCATATATATGTGTTAGTATATGATATTTGTCTTTCTATTTCTGACATTTCACTCTGTATAATAGGCTCTAGGTTCATCCATGTTATTAGAACTGAGTCAAATGTGTTCCTTTTTTATGGCTGAATAACATTCCATTGCACATATGTACCACCCCTTCTTTATCCATTCATCTGTTGATGGACACCCAATCAAAAAGTGGGCAGAAGCCCTAAACAGACATTCCTCCATGAGTTCAGAGTTGCTGCATGTAGGTTCTCTAATGTGGCTGTGAGCTTAGTTGTGGCATGTGGAATCTTAGTTCCCTGACTAGGGATCAAAGCTGAGTCCTCTGAATTTGAGGGTGGATTTTGATCACTAGGGCTTCCCAGGTGATGGCACTCCTGCCAATGCAGGAGACATAAGAGATATGGGTTAAAGCCCTGAGTTGGGAAGATTCCCTGGAGGAGGTCACGGCAATCCACTCCAGTATTTTTGCCTGGAGAATCCCATGGCTAGAGAAGCATGGCCAGCTACAGTCCATGGGGTCACAAAGAGCTGGACATGACTGAAGGACTAACATTTTTAACCACTGGACCATGAGAAAGGTCCCCAGGAGCCAGTTTTCTTCAAGGGCTACTTGATACAAAAGAGGTCAAATGGGTGGCTGGTATTTTCTGCAGGAGATTCCAAATGTATATCTGTCATTCGTCTCCTGATCTTGTGAAATGACGAGAATCTGTGCATTAATTTATTCTACCAATCTTTGCAGAGCACTCAGATGCTAGATTTCATGGATTTTAGGCTCAACTGATATATACAGATATACACTTGAAAAGATCCAATCACACTATTTTTGGTTTAACATGGCAGTCTGAGGGAATATTTACTTCTTTTGCCTCTTTTGAAATTTAGTATCAACAGCAACATAAATTGAGAAACCTGACTTCAATAAAATACTTCAATAAAAGGAAATGATCCCTACTCCAAAGTACATCTTATGAAGAATGTGTGCCCAACATGGAAACATGTGGACATGCTGTTACTGACATTAGCCTCCTCAGGCTCTGGGCAGAGTATTGATTTCTTTCAATATTCATGTCACTGTCCTGAAAGGTTTGCCCAATGAAATGTTGATTAGATTAATGAGATGGAGAATCAGGAAACCAAAGGAGAAATTGGGCTTCCTAGGTGGCACTAGTGGTAAAGAACCCGCCTGCCAATGTAGGAGACTCAGGAGACTCGGGTTCGATCCCTGAGTCAGGAAGAATCCCTGGAGGAGGAAATGGCTACCCACTCCAGTATTCTTGCCTAGAGAATCCCATGGACGGAGGAGCTTGGCAGGCTACTGTGCATAGGGTCACAAAGCGTCAGACACAACTGAAGTGATTTAACAAATGAAAAATAGGCTTCCAGGATGGCTTATCAGGTAAAGAATCCAACTCTAATGCTGGGGACACGAGAGATATGGGTTTGAGCCCTGGGTTGGGAAGGTCCCTTGGAGAAGGAAATGGCAACCTATGCCAGTATTCTTGCTTGAAAAATCCCATGGACAGAGGAGCCTGGTGGGCTACAGTCCAAAGGGTTGCAAAGAGTCAGAGACAACTGATCGCCTTTACCATGCTTTATTCTGGGCTCCCCAGGTGGTGCTAGGGCTAAAAAATCCTCCTGCCAAAGCAGGAGACAAAAAAGAGACAAGTTTGATCACTGGATCAGGGAGATCCCCTAGAAGAAGAAATGGTACCCCACTTCACTATTCTTGCCTGGAAAATTCCATGGGCAGAGGAACCACTGAGAACAAAGGAGAAATGGAAAAAAAGTAATTGAAACTGAATCTCATTACATTGGTCTATAAGAGAGGTGCTTTGGAAGGTGGAAGACAGACCTATACCCACACCCAAACACAGAGACTGCCATACACCCACACATATACATCCACATACACAAATCCACATCATTATTGTTTAAGACCTCCAAGTGCAGATGAGTTACTGACTGTCTAGTGCACACTCATGTTTACTTAAAGCTCTCTTTCTCACTCTCTCTCTTTTGACCTCTCCACTAGGCTTGTGGGATCTTAGTTCCCTGAGCAGGGATTGAACCCAGGCCCTTGGCAGTGAGCACAGAGTCTTAACTACTAGATCACCAGAGAATTTTCAAAACTCTTGAGCTAACAATGGTTTTATATACTTAAATGATTAACAGAGAATATTCCTATGATCTGACTGTTTGTGATCCCCCCTACTCTCAGTTCTGATATTGAAATCCTAATGTAGCCTTTAGGATAAGTTTAAGTCAAGAATGTAGAGATTAGTGGATGGGAGTAGGGATCTTGTGAAAGAGGCTGCACAGAGTTCCCTAGTCTTTGCCACCATGCATGGTCACAAGGAGAAGTCTAGGACCAGGTAGAAGGATCCTGCTCCATCGTGCTGGCTCTCTGATCTCAGACTTCCAGCCTCCAGATTCTGAGAAATAATGTATGTTGTTTATAATCCTCTTAGTTTATTGTATTTTGTTCTGTCAGCCCAAATGGACTAAAACAAATACAAGACACTATTTGTTGCTGTTCAATTGCTTAGTCATGTCCTAAGTCATGGCTTTTAAAAGTCAATGCTATTTCGATTGAATATTATGTTCAACATTTATTTCACCACAGAATCACCCTCTACGGCACAGACATAACAGTTGTTTTTGTTGTTGTTCAGTCACTAAGTCCTGACCTACTCTTTTGTGACTCCATGGACTGCTGCATGCCAGATTTCCCTCTTCTTCACTATCTTCTGGAGTTTGCTCAAAATCAAGTCCATTGAGTTAGTGATTCTATACAACCATCTCATTCCCTGCCTCCCCCATCTCCTGTTGTCTTCAATCTTTCCCAGCATCAGGGTCTTTTCCAATGAGTCAGTTCTTGGCATCAGATGGCCAAAGTATTGGAGCTTCAGCTTCAGCAACAGTCATTCCAATGAATATTCAGTATTGATTTCCTTTAGGATGGACTGGTTGGATCTCCTTGCAGTCCAAGGGACTCTCAAGTGTCTTCCCCAGCACCACAATTTGAAAGCATCGATTCTTCTGTGCTTAGCTTTCTTTATGGTCAACTCTCACATCTGTACATGATGATTAGAGAAACCATAACTTTGACTGTATAGATGGCATGGCTCATAGCTTCATTGAGTTATGCAAACCCCTTGGCCACAATAAAGCTGTGATCCATGAAGGGAGAGATAGACTATTTGTATCCCAGAAAGCCTAAAATGTTTACTATCTCTATTTTAAAATGGCTAACTCCTAACCAATTAGCCAAGGCATATGGATGGAGGTAAGTTTGGACTAAATAAGAGGAAAAGGGCAAATAATTCTAGATTCTCAAAACAAAAACTTGTAATTAGGGAATTTTTATTGGAAGAATGAATATGACTAGAAACTCAAATAGGCTTAAGGAAATTACCTAAAATGAAGTGGAAAACACCATGTTAAATATTAGTAGAAACATTACAGACAAGGAACTTAAGCAAAGATTAGCATGTACATAATTATAATAATTAATATTATTTAGCACAATTTTACATTTACTAATTCATATAGTTCTCATAACAACCTTATGAAGTTGATACTAATATATTATTTTATTAACATAATATAATATTATTATAATATTGTCAGATGAGGGCAACTGGGGTTAGAAAGTTTTCCAAGGTCACATGTTCCGTAAGTAGAGAAGCATGGGTGTGACCTCATTCCTTGGATCACTCTGGGATACTGCCTTAGAACAACAAAACTATTCAAATATAGACCAGAATGAAAAATCTATTTAAAATGAAAGGTTATAATCTACACATTGGAAAGGACCCCAGTATCCCAGAATTGGAATAGAGGATATTGTGTACACAGAAAGATTGTGTAGCCCACAAGTTCAGATCATCTGGCTGACCTCAATCTTTTCAACAATATTTAGACCAGTAGACTAAGTAGACTGAGTGTGCAAATGAAGAGAAGAGATCGCAACCTCACCACTTTTCAAGTATAAAGGCAACAGACTGCAATCTCAATCAGAAGAAAAAGCCTGGAATATAATACCTGTTTCTCCTTTTTGAAAAATACTCGATGACGAGAACTGGTCCATCAACAGACATGTTACAGTGATGAATTCTCCAAAGAAGATCACATGGTGGTGGTCTGATAGTGAAATCAAATTAACCTGAATAGAAAACCCTTCCTGAACAAAGTGAGAATGTTGAATATAAGAACACACGTAAGCAGTTTAGACTTCATTAATGCAAAAATAACACAGATAACAGAATTCAGAAGATTTTGTTCTTATTAGGGGTAGGAGAAACTTTATGTTAAAACAGTAAAAATAGCATATCTGTTTGCTAGGGCTTCTATAACAACGTATCACACACTATTTGGCCTGAACAGTAGAAGTTTATTTTCTCACAGTTTTAGAGACTGGAAGTTCAAGATTAAGGTGTTGGCAGGTTTGATTTCTTCTGAGGCCTCTCTCCTGGGCTTACGGCTGGCAACCTTCTCACTGTCTTCACTTGGTGTCTCCTCTATGTAAGCATTCCCCCTGGTGTGATCAATTCTCCTTTTCTTAGAAAGACACAGTCAGTTTGAATTAGAGCCGACCATAAAGGCTTCATTTGAAAGTAATCACTTCTTTAAGAGCCTTTTCTCCAAAAATCGTTATATTCCGAGTTACTAGGGGTTAGGGTTTTGATGTATGAATTTTAAGTTGGCACAATTTAGCCCATAACAAACTCTATTTTCTTATAATATGTATTCATATAAATATATATATAGTATTAATGTGTATTTCCTATTTTGTGTATGTCATAATTTGTGATATGTGTGTGTACGTGTGGAGAGAGGGCTTCCCAGGTGGATCAGTGGTAAACAATCCTCCTGCTAATGCAGGAGATTCAGGAAATGCAGGTTCAGTCCCTGGATTGGGACGATCCCCTGGAGGAGAAAATGGCAACCTCCTCTAGTACTCTTGCCTGGAAAATCCCACTGACAGTGGAACCTGGTGGGCTGCAGCCTGTGGGGTCATAAAGAACAGGATACAATTAAACAACTGAGTACACACACACATGTCTATTTTAAAGTGTTATGTTCTAAGAACTGTAAATACTTATTATGTAAAAAACCTTTCTGAAAAATAAGAATTCCTTTAGAATGTTGAATTTATTTAAATCTACTAAATATAGGTAAATTTAAAATAAAAATTTATATTAGAATATTACTAGGTGATATGTGTGCATTTTTATAAAACTACAAAATTTTATAAAATATTGTTTTATAACAAAATTGTTTCTACAAATAAGTAGAGAGAGAAGCTAAAATGATATTCAGTAATAGTTGATAGAAATTACTTTTGAGGTTTTTATGTGTGTGTTAACTGAGATTTTTTTGCTTGTCACTTCTACAGCATTTGCTTGAATTTTTATTCTGAGGAATATGGCATTATAACAAAAGCAATGAAGTTAATTAGTAATAATTAGAACATCTTAAGAGGTATATTAAGGGCATAACCTATTGAGAAAGCAAAAATAAAGAAATGACTATTTTCCTTGGAAAGTCAGGAGAGCTTATTCGTGGAAATTAATTTAATTGGATTTAAAGACTGAGTATAAATTGTCCACATAAACAAGAAAGGATGAAATCTTAAGCTAAATAATGCCACTTTTCTAGGCAAAAAAAGTCTTGAAGATTCATGCTTTTCAGGATATGGGCGACCTATTAGGCATATTCAGAAGGATAGTATAAGATGATAGTAGAAAGCTGCATGTTCTATCTTAATGAATTTAAATTTCCAAATGATCATAATGGAAACCTCAATGAAAGGTTTTAAAGACAGGGATGCCAATTTTTTAAAAATAATGGACCAGATAATAAATATTTTAAGTCTCCCTTTAATCTCCATCTCAGTTACTTAATTCTGCCACTGCAGCATGTAACAGATATGAATTTCACCTAAATAAATAGGTATGGCTGTATCATCAAAAACTGTCATCAAACTAAAAGCTACAGCAGTGTCATTAGTCTTGGGATCATAGTTTGTCAAGGACTGGGGGCCAAGAAAAAGGTGACATAGATAAAGTTGTGTTTTAAATATGTTATGCTGGAAGTCCGTGAGGAGGACAAATTTAAGGAGAAACTGGAGGTTCCAAATGTAGAAGTTAGTTCAGTTAATTTCTGTTCATTCAGTCCTGTCTGACTTTTTGGAACCCCATGGACTGCAGCACACCATGCTTCCCCATCAATCACCAACTCTGGGAGATCGCTCAAACTCGTGTCCATTGAGTCCGTGATGCAATCCAACCATCTCATCCTCTGTCACCCTCTTCTCCTCCTGCCTTCAATCTTTCCCAGCATCAGGGTCTTTTGCAATGAGTCAGTTCTTCTCATCAGGTGGCCAAGTATTGGAGCTTCAGCTTCAGCATGAGTCCTTCCAATGAATATTCAGGACTGATTTCCTTTAGGATGGACTGGTTGGATCTCCTTGCAGTCCAAGGGACTCTCAAGAGTCTTCTTCAAGACCACAGTTCAAAAGCATCAATTCTTTGGCACTCTGCATTTTTTATGGTCCAACTCTCACATCCATACATTACTACTGGAAAAATCATAGCTTTGACTAGATGGACATTTGTTGGCAAAGTAATGTCTCTGCTTTTTAATATGCTGTCTAAGTTGGTGATAGCTTTTCTTCCAAGGAGCAAGCATCTTTTAAATTCATGGCTGCTGTCACCATCTGCAGTGATTTTGGACCCCTAGAAAATAGTCTGTCATTGTTTCCATTGTTTCCCCATCTATTTTCCATGAAGTGATGGGACCAGATGCCACGATATTCATTTTTTGAATGTTGAGTTTTAAGCCAGTTTTTTCAATCTCCTCTTTCACCTTCATCAAGAGGCTCTTTAGTTCTTCACTTTCTGCCATACGGGTGATGCCATCTGCATATCTGAGGTTATTGCTATTTCTCCCGGCAGTCTTGACATTTCACATGATGAAATCTGCATTGGCTTCCCTGGTGGCTCAGCTGGTAAAGAATCTGCCTGCTATGTGGGAGACCTGGGTTCAATCCCTGGGTTGGGAAGATCCCCTGGAGAAGGGAAAGACTACCGACTCCAGTATTGGGGCCTGGAGAATTGCATGGACTGTATATAGTCAGATATGGCTGAGTGATTTTCACTTCATTCTGCCTAGAAGTTGAATAAGCAGGGTCATAATATACAGCCTTGACTTAATACTTTCCTAATGTGGAATCAGTCTGTTGATCCACGTCCTGTTCTAACTGTTGCTTCTTGACCTGCATGCAGATTTTTCAGGAGACAGAAAAGGTGGTCTGATAGTCCCATCTCTTTAAGAATTTTCCACAGTTTATCATGATCCACATAGCCAAAGGCTTTAGCATAGTGAATTAAACAGAAGTAGATGTTTTTCTGGAATTCTCTTGCTTTTTTTCTATGATCCAAGGGGTGTTGACAATTTGATCTCTGGTTCCTCTCCCTTTTCTAAATCTAGCTTGAACATCTGGAAGTTCATGGTTCACATACTGTTGAAGCCTAGTTTGGAGAATTTTGAGCATTACCTTGCTAGCATGTGAAATGAGTGCAATTGTGTGGTAGTTTGAACATTCTTTGGCATTTCCTCTCTTTGGGATTGGAGTGAAAACTGACCTTTTCCAGTCCTGTGGCCACTGCTGAGTTTTCCAAATTCACTGGCATATTGAATGCAACACTTTCACAGCATCATCTTTTGGGATTTGAAATAGCTCAGCTGGAATTCCGTCACCTCCAGTAGCTTTGTTCATAGTGAAGCTTCTTAAGGCCCACTTGGCTTCACTTTCCGGGATGTCTGGCTCTAGGTGGGTGATCACACCATCCTGGTTATCTGAGTCATTAAGATCTTTTTTGTATAGCTCTTCTGTATATTCTTGCCACTTATTCTGAATATCTTCTCTTTCTGTTAGGTTCATACCCTTTCTGTCCCTTATTGTGCCCATCTTTGCATGAAATGTTCCCTTGGTATTTATAATTTTCTTGAGGAGATCTCTAGTCTTTTCGATTCAATTGCTTTCATCTATTTCTTTGTGCTGATCACTTAAGAAATCTTTCTTATCTCTCCTTGCTATTCTTTGGAATTCTGCATTCAAATGGGTATATCTTTCCTTTTCTCCTTTGCCTTTTGCTTCTCTTCTTTTCTCAGCTCTTTGCAAATTGGTAGGATCATATGTTAGTATATATCCCCATTCAAGTTCTCAGCCTAGTTCATTGCCATACAAACACACATATCGAAAACTATGCTCTGAGGATGAAGCGACTTCTAACTTGTGGGAAAAGGGTTAAATATTTCTGCTTTCTGAAAACAGTTATTTTGTATCTTGTTTTCTATTAAAATATGTTTAGTTTCCCCCAAAAAAAACATGTATTTGTCTCCCTGCTTAGATTTTAGGTCTTCCAGGTCATGTACTGTATCATATTCATTACTGTTATCTCAGTGTTCTCTTATTTGGGGGGTTGTGCTTGAAAGATGCTCATGAATATTTATATATTTCATGAATAAGTAAATGAATGAGTAAATTGATTACTGATTGGATAAGTAGAGAAGAGGGCAAGACATTTTGTAGCCTAGTTTTTCTTATCTCACTTTTATCATTATAGTCATTTCAAAGTACCACTTATATTTATGTAATATTTTGTTTAAATTGTTCTCTTTTAAACATCTAGATTATTTAATTTAAAGCAAATTTTAAGATACTACAATACCTAGAAAACCAGTATTGCTTGCTGTACTTGGAAAACAAAAATGTACATATAGATATGAAATGTCTCATACACTCTTAAATTAATCATCTGTATTGTCATCTCAAAATATTTTTTAGGATATATGCACTCAAGTTTTATTACTGCTAGTTAACTTTTTATCAGTATTTTATACAAGAGTATAGTTGATAAACAGTGTGATGGTTTCAAGTGCAGAGGGAAGCGACTCAGTCATACATATACTCCTGTCAAAAATATTGATCAATGCAATACTTTTGCTTTACAAGTTAGAAATGTTCATCCAGATAATTCTCATGTCTGACTCAAGGGAACAGAGCAAAGGAGCAATGGAACTGCTCCCAAAAGACCACCTTTCCTGACTTACTGCCCTTCTGATTCAATCAGGCTTTAGGCCAAGGAAGGGAAAACACTCTAAGAAGAGAGGGGTGTAATGAACAGAAATAGGTTGTTCCAGAATTGCAGGGTTCTACACTAAGTTTTCAGCAAAGACTGTGCGCACATTGCAGATAGAGTTGTATGAGCTTCAGATTGTTGCTGTAACAAATTACTACAGATGTTGTGTCTTAAAGAAGCATAACTTTATTACCTTATTGTCTTGGATGTCTGAAGTTTAAAATGGGTCTCCTTGGGCTGAAATCAAGGTGTTGTCAGTCCTGCATTCTCTTAGGACACTATAGGGAGAATCTGTTTCCTTGGTTTTTCAAACTTCCAAAAGCTACTCACATTCCTCACCATGAGCCCCACATGATTGATTCTAACCTCTGCTTCCTTCGTCATACCTCTTCTGAGACTTCCTCTGTCCTATCTTCCCCCTTTACCTCAGGAATACCCTTGCAGTTATATTGGGCCCATCTATAAAATCCAGGATATTCTCTTCATCTCAAAATCCTTCATTTTATCACATCCGCAAATCCCTTTGCAACATAAGGTAACATATTCACAAGTTCCAAGGATTTAAATATGGACATTTAGAATGAGGGGGCGTTCTTTGGCTTGGAATAGTGACTCAACAAATTAGATCATCTTCTTAAAATGAACTGAAAAGTGTTCTTTTCTCCTCTGTTTTCTGAAAGAATTTGTATACAAACTCTTTTCTTCTATAAATGTTTAAGGGAATTCTCAAGTGAAGACCTCTGAGTATGGATTTTTGCTTCGCAATTTCTTCAACATGCATATGGGCATTTAGATTTTTAATTATTCTTGTAGTCATTTTAGTTATTTTGATTTTTAAAGAAATTTGTCTATTTTTACCCAAGTTGTTGAATTTATTGATTTAAATGTGGTCATAGTATTATCTTATTATATTTCAATATTTGAAATCTCCAATGAGATCCATTTTTTCATTACTGATGTTGGTATTTGTGGATATCTTCTTTTTTTCTCCCTCCCCCCTTAATTAGTGTGGCTAGTTTTATCAAAAATGGATTTATTGAATTTATTGATCTTTTCAAAGAAGCAAATGTGGCTTTCGTTGATGTTTTCAGTTTATCTCAAATTTCAATTTTGCTATTTCCTCTCATATTTAATCATTTCCTTTTTTCTACTCACTTCAGATTTATTTTACTCTTCCAACTTTGACATATGAGAAGTAGGTTAATACATTCGTTTAAGTCTATTACTTTTCTGCTGGATATTTTTTTTTAAATTTCTATTTATTTGTCATTTCTGACTCTGCTGGGCCATCCTTGCTTTGTGCAGCCTTCCCCTTGTGTCAAGGGGGCTGCTCGTTGTTATGGTGCGTGGGCGTCTCACTGCTGTGGATTCTCTTATTGTGGAGCACAGGCTCGAGGCAGGCAGGTCTGCTGCTGTTGCTCATGGGCCCTAGAGCACAGCCTCAGTAATTGTGGTGAATGGACTTAGTTGCTTTGTAGCATGTGTGCGATCCTCCCAGACCAGCCATCGAACCTGTATCCCCTACACTGACAGGGAGATTCTTATTCACTGCTCCACCAGGGACGTTCTCTTCTGGGTACTATTACAGCTGACTCTCTAACATTTTTCTGTGTTGTATATTCACTATAACTCAGAACAATTAATTAATTAACCAACAATTGACTAATTAATCAACAATTAACTGTTCATTAAAATTAACAATGGATTAACTGCTAATTAATTAACAATTGACAAATAATTGACAATTAAATTAATTAACAACTAACCTAACTTTTAAATATATACAACTATATTCAAACACTGTTCTAAACACTTAGATACCATCAATAAGCAGAGAAAATATTTTCCCCTATTGAAATTATACCTAGTAAATTAATCCAGAGAGTTAGAGAAAAGGTGAAATTATGATAAACTAGAAGGTCCTATTAAAAAAAATTAGAAAAGTCTTAGAGTTTCAAGGGTTGGGGAGGTCACTACAGATTACCCTGTTAAAGGAGACATCATGGTGATTTTAACTGAGAAGTTAACACTGAAGACTTGAAGGAGATGAAAGCATTAGCTAACACTGCAGATTTGTGTGTAAGGGCATTCCAGGCAGAGGGGGAACAAATAAGTGCAAAATTGTGTAAGGTTGGAGCATTCCTCTAGTGTGTGAGTAAGGCAGGAGGCCATAAGTCTAGGGTGGAATGAAATGCTAGTCTTTCCTCCCATCGTCTTAGCTCAGCTGAAACAAACCACATTTCCCTGAATTCTCTGGGTGACATCATATTTCCTGGTTACACCTTCTTGTAGATTCTTGTACTTTTCCTTCATGGCAGTTATCCCAGTTTTTAACTATATATTATGTAACTGTTTGACTAAATTCTTTCTATTCCACTAGAATGTTTGCACCATGAGAACAACAAGGATATTTTTATATTGTGTATCCCTGAGCATGTGATAGGGCTTGGACTTTGTACAGACTCAATTCATATTTGTTTTCTCATGGATTTAATGGGTGTATGACTGGAAGGGTTGATGGATATATGCTTTGTTAGAGAAATCCTTCCTACCAACTCCTACCTGAAAGTGGAGTTTTCCATTTATGACTTCTGTGTATGCAAACAATCTCTGGGCCCTGACGCCTTCTATACTGGAATAAAAAAGAAATGAGATATTTTGATGACAGGCAACACAAATGTGATGTAGATTACCCAAATTCTAAGAAAAAAGATCCTAGAGGGAAAAAAAAAGTCATCAGTGGTGAATTTTTTCTTCAAAAATATAGCTTTTTAAATTAAATAAAGAAAATATATTGACTATATTAAGAGTAATTCTTCCTATATATGACAGTCTGTCTTTGACAAAATTGGCCAGACTTAAGAAATCTCAAAGGTCATATGGGGTGTGTTGGTGTATGAACACATAGCATCAATATTGGACATGTTATCAACCACAGTATATGCAATGGAGCCAAGCGTTTCTGGTCTAAATTGATACCTTACTTTATATTTCCCCTTCACATTTGTTAATATTATTCAATATCGATTATAAATTAAACTTTAATACTAAGAAAATGTGTTTCTTTGTTTCTTAAAGACAATTTAAATCCAAAATACACATTGTTGTGTGTGTTAGTCTCTCAGTTGTGTCCAACCCCTTGCGACCAACCCCATGGACTGCAGCCCACCAGGCTCCTCTGTCCATGGGATTCTCCAGGCAAGAATACTGGAGTGGATTGCCATTCCCTTGCTTTGTATAAAATGCTTTTTGTGTTTCATGAATAAAGTGTAATTTTAAAAGGTTTCTAGGGCCATGTGTCGGTGGGAAATGCTAGCCATATTCATGTCTAAGATATAGAAACCGAAGCGCAGAGAACTTAGTGCGTAACTCCCTCCTCCGATTTCATGTTTTCTCCCTAGCACTTTGCGTTGTCATTAGTCACACCAGGGCAGTGGGCCAAGGATTTTCTGGTCTTACAGAGCCTGAAGCTGTCTGAGTCCTTCCTTAGGGACTTTGAAATGTACTTATGTCTGAAATAGGGTTAAACCCTAGGTAGTATTTTTACTGAAGTATTCCCATGGATTTTATTGTTTGAGCTTTAACTCTTCTGAAAATTATTTTTGGTACTTTTCTCATTGGCCTGTCAAAATATATTATGGCTATGTACATATAGGTAAAACTACTAAAGCTTTACCACATATAAATGTATTCAAGTATTCACACACTCTCACAGAGTCAACAGTTTTAGGATTGAATGTTATTTAACCAGAATTATTTTCTCAAGATAAATTTCTAGAAATAAAAGTATCAAGTCAAAAGAGAAAAATATTAAAAATGTGAACCTTTGGTGCAGATCTCCATAGTTATTAAAATACGTGTTTCCTTCAACTTTGCAAATATTAGATGGCATCATTTTTTTTTTTTAGATCAGTATAGTTTGCTAAGAAAAGACATCTCACTTTTGTATTAATTTGATTCACAAGGAAATTGAAGTTCATCTAGGACCATCACTTTTCTCTTTTTGTGCTCGTATTATTCCCCCATTTGTCTACCTGAGGGTGAGTGGAAGCTTTTCTCTGTTTAGTTAAATTTGATAACTTTATATTTTATCTTTAAATTTTAAGGGTATTTTTCTGTTGCATAGTTTTTAACTTTGTTTCCCACATAGACATGTAGCACTGCAAAAGGAAATATGATCATATAATTCTCCATGGCAGTTGACAACACATGGATTCTGCCAATAAAAGGAAATGACAATATTAAATAACAGTAAGTGCTAACAAATATAAAAACCTCCAAAAATCTGTTTACAGCTAAAAGATAGTCTAGTTTGGCAATAACATATTGGAAAGTTACTTGATTGCATTTGAAAACATGTTTTGCCATTTGTTACAACATCTTAGAAAAATTTGTTGCCTCCCCTGAGCCTCTGTTTCTTCAACACAGAGAGGCTAGACTCAGTTGTTCATAAAGTCTGGCCCAGCTTTGACTTTTTACTCATCTTTGCCATTCAGCTCCCCATAGAATGGTCTCATTTGCTCCATCAATCAACTGGACTTTCGGTCTGTCCAGTGCATTCAACAAATATTCATTAAATGCTTTGCTGTGCACTGTTTTAGATGTTAGAGTCGAAGCAGTAAATAGGACAGAAAAAACTCCCTGCTCCATGGTAATTATGGAGGGAAAAGCAAATGAGCAATCTGGTGACTATGTACCAAGGACCATGACAGAGAGAGTGACAGGGATGTGACTCAAAACAGATGAACAAGGAAAACCTCTCTGATGGATGCATCATTTATTTTTTACCTTAGACCCTGATGCTGGGAAAGATTGAGGGCAGGAGGAGAAGGGGACGACAGAGGATGAGATGGTTGGATGGCATCACCAACTCAATGGACATGAGTTTGGGTGGGCTCCGGGAGTTGATGATGGACAGGTAGGCCTGGTGTGCTGTAGTTCATGGGGTCACAAAGAGTCAGACATGACTGAGTGACAGAACTCAACTAATATATTCTGTAAAGCATTTCCTCGATTATGTGTGTATGAGTGTGTGTAGCGGCTCAGTCAGGTCCAACTCTTTGTGACCCCATGGACAGAGGAGCCCAGCAGGCTACAGTCCGTGAGGATTCTCCAGGCAAGAATACTGGAGTGGATTGCCATGCCCTCCTCCAGGGGATCTTCCCAACCCAGGGACTGAACCCAGGTCTCTTGCATTGAGGCAGATTCTTTAATGTCTGACCTACCAGGGAAGCCCTTCCTTGATTATACTTAGCTGCAAATGAATTATCCCCCACTTCATGTTCTCAGACCTTTGCTAAAAGTCTCTTGGGTTGGGTGGGAGACACTTAGCCATGAATAAAATAAATTTCACATGCCTGGGTCAGCAACCATTCTGACCTTTAGATCTCTTTCTGCCCTCTGGCATGGTCTATTAGCCGACCGCAGTCATTAGCTTCATCTTCCTGCTGGCAGAGCTAGGCAAATGATTCCACCTTCCTTGCATTTAGGTGTGGCCATAATACAGGCTCTAATGAATCATAGAGGAAGCCCTGTGTTATGCATCCATGCCTGGTCTACATCTGTGTCCCTTCGTTTTTCTTTTCAATTCAGGTAAGCTTCTTGCTGGAGTTGTCAGAAGCGCTATCCTCTCGGGCCTCTGAACCACTGTATGAAGCAAATATACACCCAAGTTCTTCTACCCCAAACTTGTCTGTAACCTAAAGCTATCCTTGAATAATTTCTGCAGAGGCATTGCACTTTGGGTGCATGTAAATATTAGAAACTTGAGTCGGCCACCATAGGGAATATCCCCCAGAAGTTGCTATCAAATAGTATACACCACATGAAGTGGATACTCAATGAAAAATTTCATTTGATGACTCAAAATTGGGAGGAGCAGAATTAGAATTCCCTGTATATTTTTCAGCTGCATGACCCTCATTTTTTTTACATCATAAAGTCTTCACTAAGAAGATTCCACAGAAGATTGAGATAATTGTGGGGACAGTGAAAGTGAAATTTGCTCAGTCATGTCCAATTCTTTGTGACCCCATGGACTATACAGTCCATGGAATTCTCCAGGCCAGAATACTGGAAATGGGTAGCCTTTCCCTTCTCCAGGGTATCTTCCCAACCCAAGGATCAAACCCAGGTCTCCCACATTGCAGGCAGATTCTTTACAAACTGAGTCACAAGTGAAGCCCAAGAATACTGGAGTAGGTAGCCTATGCCTTCTCCAGTGGATCTTCCTGACTCAGGAATTGAATCGGGGTCTCTTGCATTGCAGGTGATTCTTTACCAGTTGACCTATCAGGGCAGCCTGGAATTGTGGGGAAGTAACCCTGAGTCAGACACAACTAGCGACTTCACTTTCAGTTTTCACTTTCATGCACTGGAGAAGGAAATGGCAATCCATTCCAGTGTTCTTGCCTGGAGAATCCCATGGACAGGGGAGCCTAATGGGTTGCCGTCTATGGGGTTGCACAGAGGCGGACACAACTGAAGTGACTTAGCAGCAGCAGCAGCCGCAACCCTGGAAAAAAAAACAAAAAAGTCCACTTCCTGCTGGGCAAGTTGGATTATTTGTTGGTTTCCCTATCATTTTTAATCTCAACTTTCATTTACTTATTCTCTTAGTTAATGCCTTTCAAAGTATTTACTCAGATTTCCTCATCCCTTTCCCATATTTAGTTTTAGTTAAAGTATTATATTTTCCCCATGTTTGTTACTGTCTCCTGATTCTATCTTCACCTATTTTCTTAACATTTTGGTATATTATCCAAGATATCTATCAACACCTTTTCTCTCAATTTCCAGAGAACATCTTAACAGTCAGAAATCACATGCGATGACATGAAATGAAATCTGGACATCCACACAGCACAGTATAACTGGAAGAGCTTTCTCCACCCAGCAAATTTCACATGCAAAAATAGAGATATGTACTGAAATTATACAATAATGAGTGTTGGGAGGTAAAAAAGGTGGAGGAAATCATACAATCCCTCTTTTCCATTTTTTTTCTTCTTATAAAGCAAGGGAACCTGAGACCCAGAAGAGCCTGATGACTTGTCTAAGATCTCATAATATTGGTTGAGAAAGAAATCAGGTCAATCGTTTTACAGAATGAATCAGAATTCAGTGAATTTCCATTCTGGAAAGGACTTTGGCAATAGGGTTAAACCTGAGACTTCATTCTAAAGACAGAATGCATAAATGCCTGTCAGTTCTCTAGATACATCATATATATTATCTCTACTCCTTATTTTCACAGTGGAGGTTTTATTTTCTTCATTTGAAAAGGTAGCCTTTCCCTTCTCCAGGGGATTTTCCCAACCCAAGGATCAAACCCAGGTCTCCCACATTGCAGGCAGATTCTTTACAAACTGAGTCACAAGTGAAGCCCAAGAATACTGGAGTAGGTAGCCTATGCCTTCTCCAGTGGATCTTCCTGACTCAGGAATTGAATCGGGGTCTCTTGCATTGCAGGTGATTCTTTACCAGTTGACCTATCAGGGCAGCCTGGAATTGTGGGGAAGTAACCCTGAGTCAGACACAACTAGCGACTTCACTTTCAGTTTTCACTTTCATGCACTGGAGAAGGAAATGGCAATCCATTCCAGTGTTCTTGCCTGGAGAATCCCATGGACAGGGGAGCCTAATGGGTTGCCGTCTATGGGGTTGCACAGAGGCGGACACAACTGAAGTGACTTAGCAGCAGCAGCAGCCGCAACCCTGGAAAAAAAAACAAAAAAGTCCACTTCCTGCTGGGCAAGTTGGATTATTTGTTGGTTTCCCTATCATTTTTAATCTCAACTTTCATTTACTTATTCTCTTAGTTAATGCCTTTCAAAGTATTTACTCAGATTTCCTCATCCCTTTCCCATATTTAGTTTTAGTTAAAGTATTATATTTTCCCCATGTTTGTTACTGTCTCCTGATTCTATCTTCACCTATTTTCTTAACATTTTGGTATATTATCCAAGATATCTATCAACACCTTTTCTCTCAATTTCCAGAGAACATCTTAACAGTCAGAAATCACATGCGATGACATGAAATGAAATCTGGACATCCACACAGCACAGTATAACTGGAAGAGCTTTCTCCACCCAGCAAATTTCACATGCAAAAATAGAGATATGTACTGAAATTATACAATAATGAGTGTTGGGAGGTAAAAAAGGTGGAGGAAATCATACAATCCCTCTTTTCCATTTTTTTTCTTCTTATAAAGCAAGGGAACCTGAGACCCAGAAGAGCCTGATGACTTGTCTAAGATCTCATAATATTGGTTGAGAAAGAAATCAGGTCAATCGTTTTACAGAATGAATCAGAATTCAGTGAATTTCCATTCTGGAAAGGACTTTGGCAATAGGGTTAAACCTGAGACTTCATTCTAAAGACAGAATGCATAAATGCCTGTCAGTTCTCTAGATACATCATATATATTATCTCTACTCCTTATTTTCACAGTGGAGGTTTTATTTTCTTCATTTGAAAGATGAAGGTAGTGAGGTTGGCACTGATATTAAACTTATACAGACATTTAACAATTCACTTATTTGGGATTTAACTTCAGATTTTTCTGAACTCCATGTGTCTGTTTTTTTCTGACATGGTGTCAGAATCAGTTCTATAAGAATTCATGGCACATTTTCCTAGATATTAGCCACTCTTTAGCTCCTAACCTCAAAAAAGAACAATGTTAAAGAGTGTTTGAACACCACACAGCTGTGCTCTTTTCATATGCTAGCAAGGTAATGCTCAACATCCCGAAAGCTAGGCTTCACCAGTAGGTGAACTAAGAACTTCCAGATATATAAACTAGATTTGGAAAAGGTAGAGGAACCAGAGATCAAATTGCCAACATCTGTTGGATCATAGAAAAAGCAAGAGAGTTCCAGAAAAACATCTATGTTTGCTTCATTGACTAAGTGAAAAGTGAAAGTGAAAGTCACTCAGTTGTGTCTGACTTTTTCTGTCCCCATGGACTATCGAGTCCATGGAATTCTCCAGGCCAGAAAACTAGAGTGGGTAGCCTTTCCCTTCTCCAGGGGATCTTCCCAACCTAGGGATTGAACCCAGGTCTCCGACATTGCAGGCAGATTCTTTACCAGCTGAGCTACAAGGGAAGCCCAAGAATACTGTAGTGGGTAGCCTATCTTTTTTCCAGTTGATCTTCCCAACCCAGGAATTGAACCAGGGCCTTTTGCATTGCAGGCAGATTTTTTGACAGTGTGGATCACAACAAAATGTGGAAAATTCTTGAAGAGATGGGAATACCAGATCACCTTACCTGCCTCCTGAGAAACCTGTATGCAGGTCAAGAAGCAACAGTTAGAACCAGACAGGGAACAATAAACTGCTTCAAAATTGGCAAAGGAGTATGTCAAGGCTGTCTATTGTCACCCTGTATATTTAACTTGTATGCAGAGTATATCACAGGTAATGCCGGGCTGGATGAAGCTCAAGCTGGAATCAAAATTGCAGGGAGAAATATCAATAACCTCAGATTTGCAGATAATACCACCCTAATGGCAGAAAGCAAAGAGAAACTGAAGATCCTCTTAATGAAGAAAGTGAAAAAGCTAGTTGAAAACTCAGTGTTCAAACAACAAAGATTATGGCATCTGGTCCCATCATGTCATGGCAAACAGATGGGGAAACAATGGGAACAGTGACAGCCTTTACTTTTTTGGGCTCCAGAATCACTGTGGAAGGTGACTGCAGCCATGAAATTAAAAGATGTGTGTTCCTTGGAAGAAAAGTTATGACAAATCTAGAGAGTGTATTACAAGGCAGAGACAGCTCTTTGCTGGCAGAGGTCCATTTAGTCAAAACTAAAATTTCTCTAGTAGTCATGTGTGGATGTGAGAGTTAATCCATAAAGAAGTCTGAGGGCTGATGAATTGATGTTTTCAAATTGTGGTGCTGGAGAAGACTCTTGAGAGTCCCTTGGACAGCAAGGAGATCAAAACACTCATGCTAAAGGAAATCAACCCTGAATGATCGCTGGAAGGCCTGATGCTGACGCTCTAAAACTCTGGACACATGATGTGAAGAGCCGACTTACTGGAAAAGACCCTGATGCTGGGAAAGATGGATAGCAGGCACAGAAATGGGTGACAGAGGAGGAGATGGTTGGATGGCATCATTGACTCAATGGACATGAGTTTGAACAAATAATAGGAGAGAATGAAGGACAGCTTCCCTGTAGCTTAGATGGTAAAGAATCTGCCTGCAATGCAAGAGACTTGGGTTCGATTCCTAGGTTGGGAAGATCCTCTGGAGAAGGGAATGACCACCCACTCCAGTATTCTTGCCTGGGGAATCCCATGGACAGAGGAACCTGGCAGGCTGTGGTCCATGGTTCGCGAAGAGTCAGACACGACTGAGCAAATAACACTCCAAAGTGAAGGACAGGGAAGCCGGGCATATTGCAGTCCATGGAATCACAAAGAGTTGAACAGGACTGAGTGACTGAACAATAACAAATATAGCCTCAAAACACTAAGGTATTTCCTCATTCTAAATAATCCTCTAATTTATTCTATGTAGTGGGGCAGAGCTACACGCATTACTAGAACCATCTTTTATGTCAGACACTCATGACTTGAATGGGGAGAAAGGCACAAATAATATTAATTACATCATTAAATGTTCAGCTCACACTAACTTTGGAAATTGTATTCTATCCTTTTCAATTTCAGTTCATTTGAATATTTTCAAGTTGAAATGAGATGTGTAGTTATTTTTTGTTTTTAAAAAGATTATCTGAATAGTAGTTCTTGAAGTTATTTTTATTTACTAATTTATTTATTTGCTGATTTAGTTCTTTATTCCAAATAATCTGAAGTGTATTGTATAGCATGGGTTCACTGTCCAAAGTCCTGTGTGACAGTCTGCGTGTCTTTGCGCTGAGACACGTGGCCTTGAGTAAATAATTGAGAAATTTGCAGTAGTGGTAAAGAGCTCACCTGCCAATGCAGGAGGCATGAGATGCAGGTTCCATCCCTGGGTCAGGAAGATCCCCTGGAGAAGGAAATAGCAACCCATTCCAGTACTCCTGCCTGGATTCTCCAGTGGACAGGAAAGCCTGGCAAGCTATAGCCCATAGGATCACAAAGAGGTGGACATGACTGAAGCGACTTACCATAGGCATCAATTTCTTAGGTCATTTAGAAATTCTGGGTCTCCGTTGCCTCCTAAGGAAGCTGTGTACCATTTTCTGTGTGTTGATTCTAAAACTATTGAGAGAATGAAGCGAAATAAAGGATCAGAATGCAACTTAGAAACTTTAAATTGCCAATAAAAGTTTCACATTTTAGTAAGTGTAGCTTCCCAGGTGGCACTAGTGGTGAAGAATCTGCCTGCAACACAAGACACAGAGACTTGGATTTGAGCCCTGGGTCAGGAAGACCCCCTGGAGGGGGAACAACAACCCACTCCAGTATTCTCGACTGTAAAATCCCATGGACAGAGGAGGCTGATGGGCTATTGTCCACAGATTCACAGAAAGTCAGACACAACTGAGCACTTGAGCACACACACATGTTTATTCAAAAACAAACAAACAAACAAGCAGAGATAGAGTCCAGGGCAAGCAACTGATCATAACCCATGAGTTGTAGAAAATTATAATGGTAGGATCTTTTTATTTTTTTTCTTAGAAAAAAGAAAAACCTGCAAAATTTCTAGTAGAGGATTTATCTAAATTTTTTGCTGTAAACTTGGATAGTGTAAATAGAAGACACAAGAAATAGATGGCATACAGTCAAAATGTGTTTGGATGAATATCTAACCAGTATTGTTTGGAAAGCATGAAGACAAAAGTGAAACTTACTGGAAGAAATTAACATATTCTTAGAATCATAATGAACAAGATTCAGCATGATGTCTTTACTAAGGATATGCCACATATATAGTTTTTATATTTAATTAATTTGTTTTAATTGGAGGCTAATTGCTTTACAATATTGTGGTGGTTTTTGCCATATATTCACATGAATCAGCCATGGGTGTACACGTGTGCCCCTTCCTGAAACCCTTCCCACCTCCCTCCCCATCCCATTCTTCAGCGTCATCCCAGTGCACCAGCCCTGTGTGCCCTGTCTCATGCATCGAACCTGGACTGGTGAATCTGTTTCACACATTATAATATACATGTTTCAATGCTATTCTCTCAAATCACCCCACCTTTGCCTTCTCCCACCAAGTCCAAAAGTCTGTTCTTTACCTCTGTGTCTCTTTTGCTGTCTCGCATATAGTTTTTTGACTACCATCAAGTAATCTTTATTTTCTGAAAAGTGTAAATGGTTGTCCTTTGCTTCAATGTCAGGAAAACTTAGGTGGAGAGTTGCCTCACATTCGTTGGGTTCTCAAATTCCCCCAGGGATGCAGCTCTGAGAAACTGAAAAGCTAGAATCTGGTTCAGAGAGATCAGGGAGGGAAAGAAACCCAGGATTCCCTGACCCTTCCCAGACAGGAGTGCATTTTGTACAAACACTCTGCTCAGTAGGAGAGACCCATGCCATGGGGGTTTGCCATCTCTGAGGTCATAAACTTTGTCATCTTTTCTAGGAAACAAGTGTCTTCCTCTTCAAACCTTCTCCTTGAGTGCAACCCCTATCCCAGTTTTTATTTACTGCTGACATTATTCATGGAGCAAATCCATCCATCTCTCTAGGAGTCAAATTCATGACTTGTAAAGGTCAAGACTGAGTCTGCTCTTGTTTCTGTTCATCTTCTTGGATGAGAAACACTTAAGCATGATATGGCATTGCTCAGTCTGGAGAAATGACCCTTCTGACTCAGCTAACCTGTATTTCAAGAAAGTCAGTGAGTCTGTTGGACTTTACAAAATGCCATTCCTAAAATTCCAGCACAACTGGCTCACTCATCCCACTAGATAGGTCAGTTAACCCTTTTGGAGCTATAGTTTTCTCATCTTTGAGGATCTGGGATGCAAGAGTGTGCACCTCAATGTAATTCTGGCTTTTAAATTTTTATAGAAGTGATGCCCATTGAGGAAGTTTCTGTCATTTTTCTTCTATTTCTCTAATCTGAGGTGATTCTTTGGAAAAGACTCTGATGCAGAGAAAGATTGAGGGTAGGAGGAAAAGGGGGCAACAGAGGATATAATGGTTGGATGGCATTATCAACTCAATGAGCATGAGTTTGAGCAAACTCCAGGAGATAATGAAGGACAGGGGAGCCTGGTGTGCTGCAATCCATGGGGTCGCAAAGAGTTGGGCATGACTTAGTGACTGAGAAACAACAATATTTTCCAACTCTGATTTCAGAGTCCTAGGACTTGATGGATTCTTCTAGCATCCTTGTGCGTTTCCTGAGGAATCTAGCTGACTCTTTTCCCTGGTGGCTTAGATGGTAAAGTGTCTGCCTGCAATTAGGACGATCCCTCGGAGAAGGAAATGGCAACACTCAAGTACTCTTGCTTGGAAAATTCCGTGGATGGAGGAGCCTGGTAGGCTACAGTCCATGGGATCCCAAAGAGTCGGACATGATTGAATGACTTCACTTTCACTGATGATCGTTACCTATGTGTTTCATTTAACTTGTTCTGAGCAAGTACTTCTCCACAGACTGATTGGCTGGTAGGACTTTCAATGTCAAGGTCAAAAAGACCTTTTTCATCCCCTTTTTATAAATGTAGAATGAGACCTAGAGAGAGCTTGCCTTTCTTTCAAAACGGTTAACTCAATATGGTATAATATATTTTTAAAATATTTTTTTAACATTTGTCTTCCCCAAGCATCTCTGAGAACTACAAAAAACACTCGTTTTGTCAACAGTGCCTCTGTGATCAACCTCCAAATGTTCCTGGCCCTCCATTAATATTAATTAAATTAGTAAGTAAATGGAATATTATAATTATGACTTTAGGCCTGAGTCTTAAAATAACCAAGATCTTCAAATTTAGATCTTTATTAGTGTCTCCAAGTGAAATTGCACATGGAGTAGCATAAAAACTTACAGAATTGGGGGCAATAAATTTCCCATAGAAATTTAAAGTTATGTTCCATTTTCTGTCTATTCCTAATGGATTATTTTTATAAACTCAATCTTAAGGTAATTATTACAGCAGTGTTTTCTTTTGTAAGATGGGTCAGTATTAAATGGAAATATTTTTGAGAATTTGTCTCATCTTTAATACATCAGGGGCATCCAAAAATTAAGGTTGTTCACCTGTATTTCAATCTTGGAGAGAGTATATAAATGAATAAAGGAATGAGTGAAGTGACTTAGTATCTTGCTCAGAGCTGGGCTTCGTAGCTGGACTTCCTGACTCTTAATTCAGATTCTGAACATCTTGAGGGCATGTGCTAAGAGACTCTCATCTTGGAACCTCGGTGCTAGGCTTGCTCTGCGTGACTCACTCCCTCACCCTTAACTTGGATAGCATCCTAATCTTTTCATAGGTTTCAGCTGAGATGCCACCTTTTCCAGGAACTCCTTCCTAATCCACCTTTCCTTCATTCTGGCTTATGTGCTTCCAGAGGGCAGGACTCTGTTTTGTCCATTGCTTTATCACAATGTATAACACAGTGAATATGTGCAGCGAAAATTCCCAAGGTTTTGAGTTAAATCTGTGCAACCAACTAACCATGCCAAAAAACTGATGCTTTAGAATTGTGGCACTGGAGAAGACTCTTGAGAGTCCCTTGGACTGCAAGGAGGTCAAACCAGTCAATCCTAAAGGAAATCAACCTTAAATATTCAATGGAAGGACTGATGCTGAAGGTCTAATACTTTGGCAACCTGATGTGAAGAACTGATTCATTGGGAAAGACCTTGATGCTGGGAAAGATTGAGGGCAGGAGAAGAAAATGAGATGATTGGATGGCATCACTGACTCACTGGACTTGAGTTTAAGCAAACTGCAAGAGACAGCGAAGGACAGGAAAGCCTGGCATGTTATAGTTTATGGGGCTGCAAAGAATTGGACACCACTTACATACTGAACAAACAGCAGTAACACTTGTTGAAAGTAAGTGGTCTATTCTGCAATTATATCTCTCCTGGGGTTGAGGGGGGGAGGTCTCTTGTTTTTCTCCTAGGTTGCTGAAAGTGAAAATGTTAGTCTCTCAGTTGTGTACAACTCTTTGCGACCCCATGGACTGTGTGGCCCGCCAGGCTCCTGTGCTCATGGAATTCTCCAGGCAAGAATACTGTAGTGGGTAGCCATTCCCTTCTCCAGGGAATCTTCCCAACTCATGGTCCAAACTCAGGTCTCCTGTCTTGCAGGTGGGTTCTTATCAACTGAGCCACCGCCAGGATATAAAGTGAGAAGAGAGGTTAAACAATCATAATTTATCTTCCTTCCAGGCCAACTCTATTATTCTGGACACAGAGACAAAAGGAGGGAAGACCTGATCACACTTAAATGCATTTGTATGGACTTAAACTCCAGGATCACACAGCTCAATTATCAGTTTCATCCTCTAAAACTTATTTTTCCCTGTGTTCACTTTTCTCAATTCAGTTCTGTTGCTTAGTTTTGTCTGACTCTTTGCCACCCCATGGACTGCAGCACTCCAGCCTTCCCTGTCCATCACCAACTCCTGGAGCTTGCTCAAATTCCTGTCCATCGAGTCGGTGATGCCATCCAACTATCTCATCCTCTATCGTTCCCTTCTCCCCATCTTCAATCTTTCCTAGCATCTTAAGGATGCCAACAACCTGAAGCACAGTCAAAAATTGGCGAATAACTTTGGATCAGCCCTCTAGATCCAAATCCATGGTTCTGTATCTGTCAATCCTTCTCCATGGATTCAATCAACTGATGATATTGAAGTACTGTAATACAGTATGTATTGAAAAAAATATGTGTATTAATGGACTTGTGTAGTTCAAACCTGTGTTGTTCAAAGGTTAACTATATATAGGATTTAATTTACATGGCAACAGTATATATATATGCCATGGAGACCAGGGACAATTTTGTAATTTTTGTATTGCACACACTGCCTGAAATTTAATGAGCGCCTGCTGGGGTGCAGTTTATTTTCCCATTTAGTGATGGGTCAATACATTTAATTAACTTACAAATCAAAAGAAAAGTTCAAAAGAAAGAAACCTTAATTGAGCACTTGCTATGAGCCCAGACATCTGGACAATTTCAACCTATCACAGTCTCCTGATGGATGCTGGTTAGTAATCTTTTCCGCATAGAGTGATGGGTGCTTATAGAAGTTAAGTCCTTTATATATAGGCTGTAGGA